TGGGACTAGCCCCCGGCCCAGGGGAGCAATCTCTCCTCCGTGCCTACAACAAGGTCAGACCTCTTTGAGAGGCATATTCACATGCCATAGATCACCCTAGGCTGATATTTCAGGTCCCAGGCCACAGATGCTTTCATCCTTCCATCTAGAAAGTGTTAGGTTGGGGGACGTTCGTGGCAGGGCTTGGCTGTGGTTCAGAGGCAGCCAACGGTTTGGGGCTCATTTTCCCTTGCTTAGACACCTGCAGTTACCAATACAGCCACTAGAGGTCTCAGCAGGACAGTGATAGTCCTTCACCAGCTCCAGGAGAGGAAAGGAGACTAAGAAAGGGCCCCTCGGGTGGTGGGCGGGGTAGCTGTCTACACCTAGAGACAAGAGAGGGAGCTCATGAACTCTGCCTTATCCTCAGGAATCCTTAACAGAGCAACTGGTTTTGGACGGCTTCAAATGGGCTATGGTTGTATCTGATGAAGGAAGGGCAATGGCCTGGCTTGCCAAGAAGGGGTCTAACTTGCTACCGTTTCCTTTTTCTTTTTTCTTTTTGGGTCACACCCGATGTTGCACAGGGGTTACTCCTGGCTCATGCATGCAGGAATTACTCCTGGCGGTGCTCAGGGGACCATATGGGATGCCAGTAGTCAAACCCGGTTGGCTGCGTGCAAGGCAAACGCCCTACCCGCTCTGCTATCGCTCCAGCCCCTTGCCACCATTTCTAACAGCTGCTCGTGACCTGGCCAATGTATATATTTCAGTTTTACATAAAGTTATGTAAAGTATACGAATGCAGCTTGAGGAGCCTCTTGGTACAACAGAAGAAGAACCCCTGCACCACCACCAAAATTCTGGAGCTAATTTTCTACTCCAGAGCATTTTCCTGAGATCACATCTTTCAGGGCTCTGTTTTGTGTGGCAGCATCAGGAGCTAAAAGGTGCACAGGAAATGATGCATCCCTCTATTTTTTCCCCCCTGCTCTCTGCTCTCCAGATCCTGCCTATTCCCTCCCTGCCCCCAGTCCCCTCTACACCCCCCACCCCCGCATGCTCACTAACTTGAGTTAGGATCAGAAATGGGGAAGCGCTGCTTGCAGACCAGCTGGAGTAGTTTGGAAAAAGTTGCATGTTTAATGAAAAAAAATGCTAATCCTCACTTATTATTAGAAAAATCCCAAACAAGATGACAAGGAGATACCATGGCACAGCAGTGAGAATGGCACATACCAAAAATACTGGGAACAATCTGTGTTGGTGGGGCTGGGGTGAAAGAGGAACTCTCATCCACTGCCCCATGGGAATGTTGCCTGGTTCACTTTTATGGAGTTCTCAGTAAACCAAGAATTGAACTGTGATATGACCCAGCAAGTCCATGTCTGGGTATCTACCCTCAGGACACAAAATCTTTCACTTAAAAAAAACATATGTACAACATTATTCATTGCAGCACTTGGCACAATAGCTCAGATATCGGATCAAACTAGCTGGATAGATAATGGATAAGTGGATCATGAAGATGTGGTATATATACACAATGGGATATTATGCAGCTCTAGGGAAAGATGCAATGTTCCATCCAACATGGATGGAACTGGAATATATATTAAATGAAGCAAGCCAGAAGAAGGACAAACACAGGATGATATCACTTATATGTGGTATAAAAAAACAGGACAATGGAATGCAATGCTTGAAAGAGGGGGATGCTTAGATAACCCATGACCCTAGAATGCAGGGAAGAAAAGGACAATGAAGGAAGAAATCCAGGAGGAAAAAGAGAGAGACAGGAAGCAATGAGGAGCAGGCGTCAAGGGGATCTGAGGACATTAGTGATGTAAAAAAGTGGTATAGCTAAGTATAGCATTGAGTCAATGGCACGAAAAACTAGAGATCCAAACATCTCCAAGCAAAATTAAAAATGTGTCTGTTCCTAATCAGTGGCTGAACAAATAGCATTACTCCTACACAAAAAAAAAAGAAGAAAAAAATGTGCCTGTTAGGGCCAGAGCGATAGTATGGTAGGTAGGATACTTGCATTGCATATGGTCAACTGGGGATCAATCCCCAGAACCTTATATGGTCCCCTGAACCAGAAGTGATTCCTGATTGCTGAGCCAGAAGTAACTCCTGAGCATCACTGGGTGTGGCCCAATCCCCTACCCAGACCCCAAGTGTGTCTGTTCAGGTGGGAGGCTGGGGATGACGGTGGGAGGGAGGGAACCTGGAAACTGTGGTAGAAGGAAGGAGACACTTGTGGTGGGATTGGATTCAGACATAGCATGTCTAAAACTCAACTATGAATAACTTTGTAAATCATAGTGCTTTAATAAAGGTAAAGGTAAAGGCCCTCCCGTTGATCGTCGATTTGCTCGAGCGGGCCCAGTAACGTCTCCATTGGAGACTTTGTTGTTACGGTGTTTGGCATATTGAATACTCTCGGTAGCTTGCTGGGCTCTCTGAGAGGGGCGGAGGAATCGAACTCGGGTCGGCCATGTTGGCCGCTTGTAAGGTGAACGCCCTACCGCTGTGCTATCGCTCCAGCTTTAATAAAATTTTTTTAAAAATGTTCTATGATCAGCTATACTTGTTATGTGGAAACCAAAAGAGTCCCAAATATTAAAATCAAATGACAGTTTCTTGGTTTATAAAATTAATTCCTCATAAAAACGCCATGAATTTACCATGGAAAAAGGAAGCTCCATATTTCCATAATTTTATGCAAACAAGGTATGTATCTCAAAACTCTGCAGGCAAGTGTAGGTCTCTGCTCTTGCCTTATTGGCTTTCAAGTTACTCTCAACCTGCCTCAGAGGTTTCTCTGGCACTGTTAATTCAGTTGTAGGTAATACACTGAAAGGAGAGAATGTAACCTCGTTTACCTACTGGGGCTCCAAAAGCTCCAGAGCTCATCAGTGGTGTCCTGGGAGGAAGAGAAGTCAATACCTGTCAAATAACCCCAGACTATAGAAATCAGCGTACACGAGATGATCAAACTTGGAGTCATTCACAGTCTTCCTGCGTGCGTGCATGCATGTGTGTGTGTGTGTGTGTGTGCGAGTGTGTATGCATGTGCGGCGTGTGTGAGTGTGTATGCATGTGCATGCGTGTGCGAGTGTGTATGCATGTGCGTGTGCGTGTGTGTGTATGTGTGTGTGTGTGTGTGTATGTTTATGCCCACTACTTACTTCTCACTTGCATCTTTCCCCTCCTGTCCTTGTCCTTTGAGACCCTTGGAGCTCTAGCTCCCAGAAGCCGTCAGCAATTGCACACCCTGACTGTAACTTGCCCCATAGTCCTCTGGTGGAAATAAACATGTGTGAGAGAAATGTGCAGGAACAACAGCCTGAGATTAGGAAGACAACTTCGTATCACGTGCTCTTTGAAAACAGTTGTTCTCAACTTCATTTTATAGATGAAGACCATGTGGTCAAAGAGGTGGAGGAAGTTTCCCAACTCCTCAGACAGTAACAGAGCCAGGACGAGAGTCCTATCTTGAGATATAAGTCCCCTCACTGTCATTCACTTGTACAAAGCTCCCTTGGCTGTCTACAGGTTTGTCTCCTAGAGAACAAACTTGTCCCTGCTGAGCAGGGACACCATATCTGTAAGATGCTTTGATAGAAAGAGGATTGAGGTTTAATCCAGGCTTTGCCCTATCTTTGGCAATTTTTTTTTTTTTTTTTGCTTTTTGAGGTCTCAGTTATCGTCTAGGAATTAAGGGATTTAGAGTGAAGGATCCAATGTTGGATACTCACAGAATTCCAGAGCAAAATTCTCCTGCTCCAGAATTTTGTGCACATCCAACATTGCAGAGGACTGAGCACTGCTCAATCACATCTCCTGAGAGTCTGTACATCTTAATAGTTCTGGGCTGGAGAGTCAGTACAGGGGGTGCTTGCTCTGCATGAGGCCAACTGGAGTTTGATCCCCAGCACCCCGTGTACTCCCCCAGCACCACCAGGAATGATCCCTGAACATGGAGGCATAAAAATGTCCTGAGCACAGCTGGATGTGGCCCTCCCCCTCAAAGCCAGACAAATAAACAAAAATTTTCCTCATCTCTGATGACTTGGAAAGTTCTCATGTCATCGCCCTTCAACACAAACTTCGAAACTTCTGAGGGATCAAGAATAAGTTCTGACCCTGAAACCATCCATGGCTAGATGGGGGAAGGCTGCGCCCTTACATACTTTCATCATACTTACATATTTTTGTCATTCCAGAAGCGCCCATTGTCAGCCCCCCTGACCATGCCCCATTTACTTATTTTAGAAATGGAATTTTGATCCAATTGTGTAGCCCTTCAAAAAAAAAAAATCCACAGCTCAGGTAGACTGGAGAAACAGCGAAAGGGATTGTGTATGTGCACATGTGTGTATACAATGAAGGGCCAATATGACCCATATTTAGCTGATGAACGATTATTCTTTCTGTTTCCCAATCCCAGGCATTTCTAAGCTCTGTGTCTGTCATGTCCATATGCACAGAGACAGCAACAAATAACCGAAAGGGACTTGCTCCTGCAGAGCCAGGGCGCTGTCCTTTGCTTAGACAGGCAGCCTTAGGAGAAGACCGCACAGCACACACACAGTGGGCGACACTGCACCGCACCGTGCACCGTGCACCGTGGTGCCACACGGTCACAGCCGTGGAGCCCGTGGCGGTGAGAACACGGACACATGTCTGGAATCCTGAAAGCTGACACGCTGAGAGCTCCGTGTCAGCACAATCAAAGGGGGGAGCCACCTTCCCCAGGAGTTCCCCGCTCCCCTGGAAAACACTAGGTGCCAGCTCTCTTCCCCCACGTGCTCGGGTTTGCAGGAAGAGAGCCGCGACAACAGGAAACCCAAATCAGAGACACAGGATCTATGGCTTAAAAGGGACGGGTCATGCGGCCCCGGTGCCAAGCGGCGGAAGCGGGAGTCGGAGAAGAGCTGCGAGGGCATGCGGGGATGGTAGGCAGAAGCGCACAGGACAGCGGCCACCCCAGGAGCCATGCTCACACTTACATGGTGACGTCTCACACTACCTTAGTTTGCTTAAGCATTTCCGTCGTCTGAGAGTTTGGGAGGGAAAAACACAATGGTTAAAACTAAAGTACATTAAGAGCTTAGACTTTTTTTTTTTTAACGCTTAAAATTTTTTTTCTTTAAAGTATTTTTTTTTTTTTACTGAATCACTGTGAGATAGACCGTTACAAAGCTGTTCATGATTACGTTTCAGTTATACAGTGTTCCAACACCCATTCCTCCACCAGTGTACATTTCCCAGCACCAGTGTTCCTAGTTTCCCTCCCATCACCCCCCACAGTACCCCCAGCCTCTATTGCAGGTGCTTTTTTCTTCTTCTTTTCTCTGTCTCTGTCTCTTTCTCTTTCTTTTTGGATACTGTGGTTTGCAATATAGATACTGAAAGTTATAATTCATTTTTAAAGGTTCAATCACAGTTTCACTCCTTCCTACCTCCCCCCTCCCCACCCCTTCATGATGCAGGAACTCAGAAAGGACAGCTCCTTGGAGAGCTAGACAGCACAGTCACATCTCATTTCTGCCACACAGCCAGAGAGCTGTGCGACACAGGGCCCTTGGCTTAGCTTTCTGTGCCTCAGTTTTACCATCTGCAAAGTGGGTCTAGTAGCGACACTTACCTTATAAGATTGCAGTAAGAGTGGAATGAGTTAATAGAGGTGAGGTACTTTTTAGTGCTAGTGTTATTTTTGACTTCCTCAGGCAATTATCACTTGGACACAAAGAGGATCAAAAGTTTATAAAATGCCAAGGACTTTTAGATTCTCAATAAGAAAAATGATATCCAAAATAACACTGAGGAGAGGGACCAAGGATGTAACTCAGTGGTAGAACATATGCTTCACATAGATGAGATCTTGGGTTCAATTCTTGACACCCAAACCAAAATGGAAAACAACCTGTCTACTTTATCAACCCCCTGCCCCACCCCACAAACTAACCATTCAGGAGAAAAAAGATAAAGTTAGAAATGCACAGTCTAGAAATCATTTTACATGGTTGTTATTGATGCTTTGGGGGCATCATTTCAAATTCCAACACAGCTCAGTGTAGCTTTTCAAAAGAAATAAATATAAACCAATTGCACACACACATACAGATCAATTAGAATCTGGAGTCCAGGATCACACCAGACAATTGGAGGCCACATACATATCATTAAGTATGGCCCTTTGGATTAATAATGTCTTTTGCCTTTTCTAATGCATGTGGCTTCGATTTCTCCATCCCTCTCGGAGAGCCTGGCAAGCTACTGAGAGTATCCTACCGGCACGGCAGAGCCTGGCAAGTTCCCTGTGGTGTATTCGATATGCCAAAAACAGTAACAACAAGCCTCACATCGGAGATGTTACTGGTGCCTGCTTGAGCAAATCGATGAACAACGGGAGGACAGTGCTACAGTGCCTTTTCTAACTTGCTTCTGTCCAGCCCCTCAAATGGAGAACTGCTCAAAGGTACTGGAGCAAGAATTTGGTGGGTGTGAGTGCCAAGCTGTTGAGTAAGAGATGAAGAACAGACCTCTGAGAACCACTGCAACAGCTGTAACCTTTCCTAGCTGGATATGGTGGGCAACAGGGAGGAAGAGTATCTAAGTGAAAAGGGCACCCGCAGAGCCTACTGGTGACCTTGGCTGATCCCAACCTCTGTGAGTCACTCTCTGTGCTCCTGGGTGACTAAAACAAGTACCTACTTATTCACTTCCAACTACACCCACTTCCAGTGGTTTATGCGTACAAGTTTAATTTATAAAACATTAAGGAGCTGGAGAAAGACAAACATAAGAATGTAAAGAAACAATGGAACAATGTCCACTGCACACAAACTGTTAGACTTGGATGACAGAACTGAGGTTACAAAGGTAAATATGTTCACGAGAAGGGTCCTGTGGACAGTTGTGAAGAGCACTGGCACTTTGGGTCTGCAACACTGGACCTATAAAGTATAAACACTTATACTCTTGCAAACCAATGTGAACTCAATAAATAAAAAATGGTTCCTCCTAAAGAAACTATGGCACATCTACACAATGGAATACTATGCAGCTGTTGGGAAAAATGAAGTCATGAAATTTGTCTATAAATGGAAGGACATGGAAAGTATTATGCTGGGAGAAATGAATTAGAAGGAGAAGGACAGATATAGAATGACTTGCTAAGTGAAATTAGTCAGAAGGAGAGAAACACACATAGGATGGCTGCACTTATTTGTGGAATATAAAGTAACATAATAAGAGACTAACACCTAAGGGCAGTAGAGATAAGGGTCAGGAGGATCACACTATGACTTGGAAACCAGCTTCACATGCTGGGGGAAAAGGCAGCTGGGATAGAGCAGGGACCACTAAGTAAATGATGGCTGGAGGGCTCACTCGTGATGGAAGATGCATGCCTAAAGTAGACTATGGACCAAACACAATGGCCTCTTAATATCTGTATTGCAAACCATAACACCCAAAAGGAGAGAAAGAGAGAGAGAGAGAGAGAAAGAGAGAGAGAGAGAGAGAAAGAGAGAGAGAGTAAAAGGGAATGTGCTGCCACAGAGGCAGGGGGTGGGAAGGGGTGAGGGTTGCAGAAGGGATACTGGGAACATTGGTGGTGGAGAATGGGCTGGTGGAGGAATGGTATTAAATCATTGTATGACTAAAACATAATCATGAAAGTTTGTAAGTCTGTAACTGTATCTCACAGTGATTCATTAAAAAAAATTAAGAAAGAAGAAAAAAAAAACCAACCCAAACCAAACCAAAACCAAAACCTGAAAGCTTCATGGCAAGTTTTTAGCTAGGAGCCCACAGAAGGGAAAAGTGACAAGGTACAAGTCAGGGGAGTCTCTCTCTCTCTATCTCTTTTTTTCTTTTTTACATGGTCTAGAATTATTTATTTTATTTTGAAGAGTAGAAAATGGAGACACAGAAATCTCTTCTTGGATGAATTGCAAATCTTGAATGATTTCTTTGGAAAATAAGGGTGCCTTTTTTTCTGACATACTGAAAATTGAGTGACTTTTTTTCCTTTGTTTTTCAGTTTCACTTTTTGCCTTTTATTTATTTTATTGAATCACTTCCCCATGAAAGAGCCTGGCAAGTTCCCCGTGGTGTATTTGATATGCCAAAAACAGTAACAACAAGTCTCAAAATGGAGACATTCCTGGTGCCCACTCAAGCAAATTGATGAACAACGGGAGGACCAATGCTACCAGTGCTATTGAATCACTGTGAGATATACAGTTACAAAATAGTTCATGATAGAGTCTCAGTCAATCCAACAGTGGTCCCTTCCCCTGTGCACATTTCCCACCACCAATGGTTTCTTTCCTTTCCCCAGGTTCCTTTCTGATCTCCTCCTGCCACCCTGTCCCTGAAGACTGCCTCCATGGCAGACTCCTCCTCCATCTCCTCCTCTTCTTCTCTTCCCCCGCCCCCCCCCCCCCCACATTTTCCTTTTCGGCACTGTGGTTTGCAATACATTACTGAAAGGGTATCATGCATATCACTTGACCTCCTTTTAGTCCTAAGTATGTGTCCAGAGTGATCATTTACAACCATCATTGTCCTAGTGGTTCCTTCTTGATCTAACCGCCCTTCTCCTCCCCTTGGTGACAAGCTTCTGAGTAACAGTGAATAGGAGTTGCCTCAACAGGGATGGTGTCTCCACAGGCCCAGGAGACATGATGGAGCATTTTCCCAACAAGCAGAGCCCTGTCTGTGTGCCCCGGGAAGCAAATTTAGGCTGCTGGACTCTGATAGACCTCGGCTTGGCAGCTCAGTGTAACCGGGTGAATATTTTTACTGTCCTTTACTTTCTCGTTTCCTATTTGGGTGTAAATATATGCCAGCATTGAATTTTCCAGCTGTTCTTTGGGCTGTAGAATCCTTAGGCTGGGAAGCCTCCTGGCAGGAACATGAGAGCCGAGAGCCTCGAGGCTCCTGGCAATCCCAGTGATTAAGGTTTCATTGGCCTGGCAGGGACTCTGATTTTTTTAAAGACCCAGTTGTCGATCTCTCCCAATGCGAGCACTGTTTCAAGGACATCCATTACCATCCTTGGGCTCTGCAATATAGAGTGACACCCTGATCGGTTCAATATCTTGCTGGAGGGATGCTATTTATGGCCTCAGAATGTTGCCCGGGCAAAAAAGTACACACAGGAGAGATGAGCAGAGGATACTGAGAGAAGCTGCAGATTTCCAACTGGAAAAAAAAAAAAACCAGGGCCAATGAATGGATGTTTGCAGAAGCAGAGAGACATTTAAACAGAGTTATTAAGCAATTAGCTAAATTACAACCAGGATGGGAAGTGCAAGATGATTTCAAAGAGAATCATTTCAAATAAGTCATCCTCTCACTTTCATTCTGCACTCTCCAGAAGGTGATTATTTTGACAAATGAGATAGTGGCTGTCAGTTTTCTCGTGGAAACAATGCCGCATCTCCTGGAGGGTCGTGGGCCCATGTGGAGGGCTGGACACAGTGTTTTAGGAAAAAGCTCAAAGGCAGCGCCTTCTACATTATCCTCTGGGGCCCAAGACCCAAATCTCTCCCAAGGGAAATATATGTTGTCAGTTGGTTTTAGTGTCTGTGTCACATAAGTAAAAGAACACCAAGACTAGGCTGTGTTACTAGACTCAGGGCTGATGTATGAGTAATATTTACATTTTTTTTTGGGGGGGGTGTGCCATCACACCCAGCAGACTAGCCTAAAGGCTGTTTCTGTTTCATTCACACTCGAGTGAACAGCTGTCTCATTCATTTGAAACATTATTAAAAAAGCATCTTAGCTGTCCCTCTGGGTATTTCTTTATAACTGGGTTATTTGCACAAAGCCCTGGGATTTGGGGTTCTGGAGTTTGAGCTCCTATTTCCTGGGTGGTGGTAGATAACAGGAGAAATGCTGAGTGTGGGTGTATGTTTCCTCAAGAGCCCTTGGTGCTTTGGGGTGGAGACTAGCAATAGAAAGAACCTTCTAGAGAAACCAGGATTCAGCTGAGAGGGAACACAAGGCGGCCCAGTAATTGATTGCTGGGATTAGAGA